CAAAGCCCGTGGGGCCCAGCCTGGCCCAGAGCAGCCAGTCCTTGGGCTGGAAAGCGACAGGGCAGGGTCAGCAGCCCGACCGTGCCGACTGCGGGACCGGGGGAGAAATCATCGATGCCAGCGGAGTCTTTGAGGAGACTCCCAAGGGCTGCAATCAGGGCTCTGGCTTAGGAAGGCTTCACATTTCTCCCTCGCTGGTAAAAACGGGAAATGGCGGAGCAGCCGGGGGCAGAGAGAGGCGTTGGGAGGAAAACGCCTGTGGAAATGGAAAGCTCTGGGTACAAACCAGGTCGGAGCACCAAGGGTTTGCATTCCGGGCAGCCAAGTCGGGTTTGAGATCCGTGTGGCTCTCTGACCAGTCCCTCACTACAAACTGCCAGCGCTGCTTGTTCTCATTTTACTAACTTCTCATCTATGCCGTTATAACCGTTTTAGAGGTGCAAGAGGTACACGCGTCTGCGTGCACGCAGGCGCTGGGGAGCAGAATTACTCCCCTCGGATCACGTGGCTGTACAAACACTGGTAAAATGGGTAGCTGCTACCACTTGTGACGATTCTCTCCCTCCCAAATGTAGCATTCACTTATGATTAAATTCGCGATAACATGAATCCAGAAGCTGTACTAAACCTGCTTGCATTACCTTCTTCAACCTTGCTGCCGAGGTCCTTTCTGTTAAAAAAAGTAAGTTTTTTACATTCATTTAATCAGCCTAAACAAAGCTCCTGGAACACAGATCTAAATTCTCAGAGAAGTCGGTTTTAAATCAACACCACTGTCACAGAATGGCAGAGTCCAGCAGAGTTCTTATCTCACCACTTGGTTTCCACTCAGTATTTTCAAAAGCCGAGGGAGCCCAGCACCAGTCCTGCCTCCCGAGAACTCCCTTGGAAGGACTCTCCCTTTGCCAAGCCAAGAGCTCCCGCAATTCGCAATGCCTGCTGATCCACCGACTTTTCAGAAGAGAGTCGGTTTGGTTCTGGCACAATTACTCCCAGCACTCTGAAGTTTAGGGAAGACAGCTAAGGGAGGGCTCTGGGAACCGAGAGCTTCCTACGAGAGGACCAGGGGGCTAAAACAAGGTGATTTCTTCAACAAAAATTACGCTGGCCTCTCAAAAAGCTTCTCCTTTAACTAGCTCTTTTGCTTAAATGAGCTCAGTGCAGTTCCAGCTAGCTGGCTTCTACTCTCCTTTGAGGATAAAGCTTCAGGCTACATTAAATGGCCGTTTAACTAACCTGTGAAAATGCGCAATTTTCATACGAAGAGCCTGAACTCTGGCCGCTTGCTGAAGGGCAGCAGAGCTCTGTCCGCTGGAAAGCCCCGTCCTCCGAAGGAAGTCAGACTCCGCACTACAGTTCCAAGAAAATGTGAAAAATGTGAGGGGAATGAAAATTTTCCATTTTACAGAGCTGACAAGGAACTGCCTCCCTGCCGAGCCTTTTTCACTCTCTGAACTATGCGTCTCTGCCATAGCTTCACCTCACGCTGCAAACCCACTCCTACCCGCGCCTAAGCAGCACCAAGCCCAAACTCCATCGCTGGAACAAGCCTGACAGAGAACGCAAAGCCACAGCAGACGGCACCGGGGTCTCCGGAGCACGACGGGACTCTGCCAAGCCCTGCGGTAACGCATGGGGCCTCCGAGGTCTCTGCGCCACATGGGCAGGAGCAGCCACCTACAGCATCACTTCGACAGGACCTGACAGCACCAAAGTCACCTCCCTATTCTGCTAACAAAAAAAACCCTTACAAACA